ATTTCCATGGCAGATAAAAATACATAACAGTACAAAAGGAAATCATGTATTCTAATAGTTACAGATTCTCCAGTTATAAGATTTTCAAATCCATATATCACAGTTCTCTCATCATCTGCTCCAACTCTCCAATGCTACATCATACATGATATCTCCATTGTTTACAAGTAGGCTCCAGCACTATGTTGATATAATGATGATGCTCAACTAACTCCACTTCCTTGCAACTCAATTGTTAATATCAATCTTTACTTGTTCATCATTCGTAGCATGTATGATACTAATCATGTTATTCCTTCTTCAATATACTAATATACTAATATACTAATATATTAATCATGTTATTCATTGTCTTTTGCTGTTCTATATGACAATATGTGATAATACTTGTCATTGATACAATTGAAGGAATTCTCAAAGAACATGTATAATATTCTACAAAAAAATGTATAAAATCTATTCTTTACAACAAGAAAGACTTTAAAGTACTTCAAATCTCACAAATAAAGGTGAGTGGGTCCATAACCTTTTGAAGAACAAGCACTTTGAAGACACAATACTTAGCATCAGCAAGGTTACATACAAACAGAGTATGGAATAAGATATCTCTCACTTCCAATACCCATTACTTGTAGGTAGTAGTTGCTGCCCTAAAAGACAACTTCCACTCTTTGACTTTTACACATGTAGCCTTAGGATCTTTTTGGCATATCACGAGCCTCAAGGGTATCCTATGACACATACTAATGACTCATACTTAGTCTTTGGATATTCTCTTGTTAATACTTTATCCTTTTGACTTTGACTCTTGCTCCATGACTTCATCCTATATCCATTGGATGTCCTTACCATATACCAAGAGTCAAACCTTTGACCACAAGCAACTTACCTAAGTTAATATCTTCTATAAGATAACTTATTCTACTTTTACTTTAACACATATGTTATGCTTCAAAGAGTGACAGTAGATACAAATTTGATTCCTTAACTTTGAACACCTATATCTCCTTCACAAAAATTCAAAATCACACAAACTCTTCACCCAAATTAATCCATAGTAACATAAAATTTTATTACAAGATAGGACAAACTAGACTAGAATAAAATTGAATAGAACTAAATAATATAGCATACAAAAGACAAAATTAAATAACTAGAATTGAAACAAAACAAAATAAAATAAAAAGCTTTAAAATCCGAATGTATTAAGAAAAAGAGTTCGAAGCCATATCTAACCAAATGCTCTAAAAGGTCATAGCTAGTCCTACATATACTTTGTTCTATCACCTTGGACTTTCTAGAATGTTCTTAGATGATGGATCTTACTTAAATAACTGCCTTAAATTTCTTTTAGAAGGTTCCATGGTAGGCCCTTCTTAGATAACTAACCTAAATTCTTTCTAAAATATTCTATGATGGATCCTATATGGTCTACTAATCTAACCCCAATTCTAGAAACTTTGATGGTTCTAACTATCTATTCCTATGTATCAGTAATACATATATCTTATTTATACTCTGTTATATTGCCTCATCACATACTATATAACATTGGATGAGATAGAAGTAGGGATCACATTGTCCTATTGTGGTTTGGCTACCACGTATAAATATTGTGTTTATATATTTGGTATATGATTTACTAAATAATATAGAAAGAGCCATGTTAATGAATTTTAGTTGATTTTAAAATAGAATTAGATTATTATCTTAAGAGAAGGTTATTTTAAAGGACTATTATTAAAATTTATATAACTTTATTTTCTTTTGATAGTGACTTTTGAAGTTGATCTTATTAATAGTAACTTTTAAACATTTAGAATCACCCTTATTAGACATTGGTGATCCTTGAAGTTTTATTTTGATTCTTTTATTTGATGTTTAGGACATATATTATATAAATCTTATTAAAAAAAAGATTGGAGAGGAATTTTAGAAGCAAAAAGAAAATTTAGGGCATCCATATGGATGAATGGAGATAATTGATGAAAATCTCCATTCCTATTAGCCAAAAAACATATCCAATGGACTTCAAGGAGGCTATCAAAGTCCTTATTAGGAATTAGGATTATTTTTTTAGGCCCATTGGAGCTTTGGAGGCTAAGATCAGTAAATTTAGATTTTTGGCTATGGTTTTGGTGAAAAATTTGTGTGATTTGGAGTTTATATGAAAGAGATATGGGTGCTTAAAATTAAGGTGTTGATTTTGTACCTACTGTTACTATTATGGATATAATGCATGCATACAGAAACCAATAAAAGATCAATGATTGAGATTGAAGAGAGAAATTTTTTCGCTACAATTTTGGTATATTTTTTGATAGATTCTAAGTTGGAATAAAAGAGATATTGGAGGTTGAAGTTAGTGCTTGCAAATATAAAGGTAGTAAGTGACCGATTTACTAGTAGTTGTGTTATGAGCTATATCTTGAGTAATTTGATGAGATTTTGGCCCAAAATTTCTAAAAATGTATATAAACATGTAAATAAATTTTTTGCACAATTTTTTGGCATTTGATTTTTGATTTTTGAGATATGAAGAAAATAGTGTTTGGATGCTTATAAATTATGGTTTAAATCACCTGCTAGGATTTCTAAGATGCCAAAAGATTGGTAGCAATTTTATAGTTCATTTTTTTGTAATAAATCTTAAGGATAATAGCTACATTATATAAAAATTTGAAAGAAACTAAATAATTGGATCAAGTGATATGAATTTATAAAGCTTGAAAAGAAAAAATTATTTGCTAGAAAAATATGTTTTGAAGGATTTTACTTCAATTTTGATATTTTATATAAAATAAAGAGGTTTTGGAAGCTAAAACTTTGTATATAAATTAAAGGTGGAATAAAACACTCATTGGAGCTTAGCCAATAAGTTAAAGCTAAATTCTTGATAGCTAGATACCTTGTATATTTCTAGATTATAAATCATATCACATGACAATGTATAAGTTTACTTTGTATGTTTTTTAGCTTAAAAATAATATTTTTATCTCATGTTAAACTCAACTAATGTGACAGCTAATATTTTACTTAATCTAAGTTTTGGTTTAGTTTTTAATAAGAATAATAAGATTTGTGGCCAATAAGAGAAGGTTTATATCTCCTCTTGTTTATTCCTTGTATTTGTCTTCCATTTCTCTTTCTCGAGTTGTTATATGTAAATATATAAATATATATATATATATATATAAATTTATAAATATATAAATAAACATATAAATATATATATATATATATATAAATATATATATATATAAATATATATATATATATAAATATATATATATAAATATATATATATATATCTAAAAATATATTAATGAATTTAATTCAATATATTATAAATAAATAGGTTGATAAAATACTATTTTAAGTGTTTATTTTATGAATTCTTTGCAATTATAAAAGAAATGCATTCTTTAGTATAAAGCAGAATTTATGTAATTTTGAAGAATTTTTTATATTTTTTTAGTCTTTTGCTCTTTTTTTTGTTTTTATAGGCATGTTATAATAATTAAATCTATGTACATGAGTAGTGTTTTTGAGCCTTCTTTTGTAAAATTATCATATGAAATGGATATGTGGCTACTTTAGAACCTAGTTAGATTGGCCTCATTTTAGCTCATTAGCTTTTCAATAGTCATTGCTTACCACAAAGACTAATAAGAAGAATGTTATGCTAGAAGATTCAAATGTAGTACAACTTATTGGTGTAAAAACAAATACACTTGTTGTAATTGCTAGACAATCTGTATAATAATGTTTGATCAACTCTTCTAGAGGTTTTTTATACTTTGCAATATAAATTGATGGATTCACAAATAAATGCATTGAAAAGTACACCACCATTCAATGATGGAATAAGAGGTAAGAACCAGATACATTGATAGGATAGTAAGACAAATGATAAATTGATGTTATCAAAGCCCATTAAAAAGTTTGAACAACTTGATTCATTTTGGATACTATAGTTTTAAATTGATCCAACTTCTAATTTATTCAAAATGGACATATTAAGAACATAGAAGAAGAAGCCAACTAAAAAATGATAGTTTAACATTAAGAAATGGTATTTTTTGTGGATTTATTTCCAACATTGGAAAAAAAATTAAAAAGAAAAAGAAAAAGAAATAAGAATGTGTTATTAAAAGTATGCAGTAAAATATTTTTTGATGAATTGGTCAAAAACCTAAATTACATGTACTTGATATTTTAATAAAATGCCAAAACAATCAATGATATTAGAACTAGTTCTACACCAATTACATCTCCTAATTTTAATTATTAGATACTCTTTGGTAAATGATGTAAATTGGTAAACTATGAATCATTCTTGCAATGTGGGAGCCAAAAGATGTTGAATGAGTCTATAATAACCTACATGACATATACTTTGGTTGTAAACCTACACTTCCTAGAGAACACTTCTACACTTTGTATTCTCATTATCTACACTACCTAAGCTATCACTATCCTCTTACATGCTTGTCCCAATCAATCTCATTTTCAATATTATTTGTGCACAAAATATTCCATATTCTGTGAATTCCCACCTCTGCCCACAACCCTCACATCTTTTTTATACTTTACACAAAACTTACATTAAAACTGTAAATATATGTATAAATAGAGAACAGAGTGAATTGTGAAACACTTCAATCAAAGGAAAAAGCTACCATGAAAAAGGTAGAAGAACATCATTTTCATGGTATGAGGCCTGGTTGTAAGATTGCTCACATGGGTTGTTCACATGCAGTCAATCCACCGTTTGCTTGAGCGCCATGGCTTTGCACCAGAAGCTGTCGGAGTGGCGCCTCCCGAAACACAGGTCGTATGGATACAGGACATACCTTCCACGGGTATAACCGCGTTCTCTCAGTGGCGGGTATTTGAAGCGCTCCCCATCCTCAATCGCGACCTGCGCTGGGCCTCACTCTCGGGAACCGGGTCAAGTAGGACTTGCACCGGGAAACCCTAATCCGGCTTCAAGAGGTGCGGAGTCTGCCCCGCCCACCCTCTTTCGCCTTTGCGGTTTGTTGTGGCGAGTGTTGAGGTGTTGGCGCGGAGCTTATTGTCACCATGCAGATCTTCGTGAAGACCCTGACGGGCAAGACCATCACTCTCGAGGTCGAGTCCTCCGACACTATCGACAATGTGAAGACGAAGATTCAGGACAAGGAGGGCATCCCTCCCGACCAGCAGAGGCTCATCTTCGCCGGCAAGCAGCTGGAGGATGGCCGCACTCTTGCCGACTACAACATCCAGAAGGAGTCTACCTTGCACTTGGTGCTCCGTCTGCGGGGCGGTATTATCGAGCCATCTTTAATGGCACTGGCTCGCAAGTACAACCAGGAGAAGATGATCTGCCGGAAGTGAGTGCTCGGCCCTTTTAAGCTCACTATTGCAGCGCAGTTTCATGTGAACTGTGTCGTACGGGTTTATGTGTAGTTAATAGAATCATAAGGTGGGCGTCCCGCGAGTGGACAGGAGAGGATGAATTTTATGCTATGTCGAGGCTGTAAAGTGGAGCATAATTATAATTATGCTCCGATGTCACATACGGGATTAGAGGGATTTGCATACGGGAAGGGTTAGGATTCTCACACTTACATGGCAACCTCGCTGGTGACAGATTGTATTAAGATGCTAGGTGGGTAGGCGTTTTCGTGGAAGAGCATTGAAGAGGCAGTTTGTGTCATTAGCGTTGGGGATCGGATGGGGGGTGGTGTGAAATATTATGGCATGCGGAAGGGTTCTTGACCGAAGGTCAGTTTGTGTACTGAAATGCGTGAAATGGCTCGTGCTGAGTGGTGGTACGGAGTTGAGCCGTAGATGGGGATTGAAGGTAGATTTAATAATAATTTCTACGCATGTGCAGGTGCTACGCCCGTCTACACCCCCGGGCTGTGAATTGTAGAAAGAAGAAGTGCGGGCACAGCAACCAGCTTCGCCCCAAGAAGAAGATCAAGTAGAGAGGGAGCAACCGGTCTTTGTGCATGTGGTGCAAAGCAAGTGGAAGGGGAATGCTAGGGCTGCCTATGTCTTATTGAGAGCTATAGGTCACCCGAACACCCGTACAGCTTGTTTCGTGGTACCGTAATGCATTTTATTATTGAACACAATTTGCGGGGTCCAGTACCTGAGTTCTGAACACGTTGTCAAGTGGATTAGATCGTGAATGAATGGACTGATCTGCATGAGATGGTCATCTGGGCGGCAGTGGTGTACGAGTTCACGATGCTCTACAACGCAGAAGCTCATCTGGTGGAAGGAGCGTGGATGGGTTGAAATGGTTTTACGTCGTCGTGTGTGTGTGATTTCGAAGTTGTAGTAAGGGAGCTAGTTGTTCTGAAGTCCGGAGATGGAGCGATGGAGCTTGCTTTTGAAACGGAGAATGAACTCATGGTAAACTGGATTTGATTTCAGAACATGTCTCGGACGTTCTTCTGGAATTACCGTAGTTTCCGGTGTATTCAGTTTTGTGTCGCGAACTGGTAAAGTGGGGTCTAAATTAGATGCATGACCATCAACAGTAATGTGGAGACTTCAATAACTTGTGCGAGATGAGGCACTGGGGGAAATTAGGAAGTCAGTGTAAGTTGGATGGCGCGATGAATATGGGTTGGTAAGCGAAGCTATCGAAATCGTCTGGAGTGGTACTTCATGTAGTCGATACGTGAGGAGTCTTGGTGCTTCTTGAATGATTGTGAAGGACAGAGAGCGGTGTGAATGATTGGAAAGTTTATTCTGCAATTGGATCAGCCAAACCCCTTAACTTAGCAGCTAGACAACGGCTATTGATACATTGACACAGTGAGTTAGCGGTCGAGATATCAATTTCAATTTGCCAGGAAGATTGTGGTGGGTTGTGTGGGAGATCGCTGATTGCCCGGTTCACTATGCCGCTTTTCTGGCTCGGCCGTTGCTGCTACGCTAGCTGCAGCTGCGGCTAGTGTTTTCAGGCTGCTGCGAGTAATGCTCTTACCTCGGCGACTCCACGCGTGAACTGGCTGTGTCACTTCGATTAGGCGACCAAGAAACAGTGGAGGCATGTCATCCCTCGTCCATGCCCACTAGGTGTGGGACTTAGCGAGATCCCCTTCAGTGTGTCCTCACAGCCTGTGTCACCTCTAAGGGGTTTAGGGTTTTCGTTTCAAATGGTTCTAATCGTGGTGTTATTGGTTTCAAATGAAATACCAATTTTATGTTTTAGTTGTTTTGTATGTATTGCACCCTTTATGTCGCAGTGTCCGCTCTAACTTTGGCACAAATCCACAGGTTTTGGCCTACACGGTCAAATACTCACAGAAGCCAGGCCAATTCACCAATTCAATGTTTTAGGATTTGAAGGTTTTGGACTAAACTTGCTACTTCTTCATGTTGTACTTGTATCTTATAGACGATCGGGACACCTCTGACGAGGTAAACTGTAACGTGGAACTAGAAACATTGCCCCATGAAGGAATTGTCGTTATTTTCATTACAAGTTTTTGAATCATATTTAATCATACAAAAAAAATTTCAGTGATGTGGTGAATAGACAAGTGACATCCTATTGGAACTTGACATGAACCATACTGGAGAAAAATTGCAAGGTTATTTTTCCTGATCACTATGGCAAGGGGAGGCATTGCACCCCATGGCCATGTCTCCTTGATGTTTGATATATGTAGGTCAGATTGTGTCATATTGCACTACTCTATCTTGAGCCACCTATGTCCATTGCAATCCAGTTTGCTTTAAAAAAATCCTAGCTTACCATATAACATGACATGTTAACAAGTGTATTTTTGAGGTGGATCTTGACACTATATCAGTGTCCATTGAATTGTTGGTCTCCAGTAGAGAGGACAGGAGAGAATTCTCTGAACTTAATAAAATGGTGGCATACATACAATACAAAGCAGACAAAGCTAGGTTTTAGGTAGAGAGTTCTACATACATTGCCAATGTACAGTTTAATAAGGAAGCAGCAATTTCATAGGCAAGAAAGGAATTTGGAGAGAGAATGGCATTCCTTCTAGAGCAAGCCTTTTGAGATTTGTGTCCACTCCAGCAGATTATAGTGTCACAAGAAGAGGTAATAAGAAGCCTACCCACAGTTCCTTAGCAATACAATGGTGAGTTCTAATTCCATGTATTTGCAATTTAAGCAAGTGTATGGTTAGATGTCACTTTTTGTAGTGTAATTGTCATATAACACCCTCACATGTAACGTTTTTTTTACAAACAATTGAATGCATGTTGAACACTGTAAACATAATGTTTTCGGCTGATAATCAACTCTGTTGTGGTGGTGACACTGCAGATATTGAATCCTATTAAGTCTGCCAAGTTCTAATGGAAATCTGAAGGGTGCGTATCAAACCAACATCCTTTATTATGGTGTAAAAGTGCTTTTTTTTGAACTGTTATGGTGTTTTTTGGCTCCACATGTCCATATGGGTTCACAAAGGACACAATTGTACAAAGCTGCACTAAGGAGATTGGAATGAAAAGAGCATTAACAACCTTCTGCATACAAGGGGCATACCTTTTTGCTGAAATTAAAGGATGACACAATAGAGACAATACATTAACATGTCTTTATACAAATGTGGTAGATTGAAAGGGGCAAAGGTAAATACATTCTTTGGGAAACTATGCACTTGGTGAGGAGTGTCCAAATTTGAGTCCTTTAAGATTATGCTATACATAATGTCACTAATTTTGATAGAGCATGGTGTACAATTTATCATACCATTGTCGTGCGGTTTAATTCCAATGTAGAATCCTAAGGTATTAGTAATGTAGTATAATATTTAGTTGTCCATTTGAAACATTGCAAATACCATTGTCAAAGATGACATATGCCATTGGGAACAATGCATGTATGATACATGGGGTGTCGAGTCCCTCTCTATCATTGGTACAAGCAAAGCAAGTAATGTGGGAGAGTTTGCTAATATTGACTATTGGGATGTAGAAGGCATGCTTTATAGGAAGTTGCCTTATTCTTCATATGACTATGTTTTGCCAAGTTTGTTTTCGATTTTCTTGGAACTAAAGTATGCCATGGAAAAACATCAAAACTTGAACATCATTAAATTCATGATGATTGTGATACATGTAATATAGGACAATGAAGGAGTGGATGGTCTATTCACTCTAAATGTTGGGATAGATATAGGGATTTTATTGTATTAAGTCTCTAACCAATTCATTGAAGAAGTCATGAGTCAATGACATGCATCTTAAAGAAAGAAAACTCAATACACTCTTACATCACTTGAAAAGATTAGAAAGTTATTGAATGATCGTAATATATTGAATTAGAATGGTTATTGTCAAGGACAAGAAGATCAGAAAGTCTTGAAATAAGATTTAAGATTAAAAAGGCATTGACAAGAGAAAAGAAGGCTTTACTCTTATTTCTATATATACTCTCTAATTAGGAGCTATGTGGTAATATTCTATAGGACCTCCAACACATGTTGATTTTACTAAATATATGTCTTATTTTGCAAGACAAGTTTTCTATATGTGTGTCACATAATTAACTTGTTCCACAAGCTACCAACATGTATGACATGCGGTTAACTTATTAACCAAGTTTCTAATCTATCAATTAATTATAAATATGTGTAAAGTCAAGGTAGTATCTAAGAAGCTTCTAAGAAGTGTTTTTAGAAGTTATTATGAAATTAATCTACTTTTACTTACTTCTAGTTAATCATATAGATAATTATTAGAATAAATATATATATCCCTGACATTATTTCTTCTTCTAAAGATGAGTTCCATGAGGATCACTAATTATATATTGAAAAAATTAAAAATGCAACAAATTGTGTTTGCTACATACTCTGATCTTTATTTTCTTCAAAGATGGTTGATAGGTCCTCTCAACCATCAATAATGTCCTATACTAAGGTGGAAAGACCACCTTATTATTTGATTGTTGTTAAAGCCTTCATAATTCCCTTCAAATAAAATATTTGAATCACCATGAAGAATCATTCCTACTTCCAATAAAATCACCAAATATTAGAAATTTCTTCTAAGGTTGTGATACTAAACACATTATATCTCACTATCTATTCAAGAAAGGATATGTTGTTCTTAAGAATCTTCATGTTAATTATGTAATTTAGAAAGTTGTAACAATTATAATATTTTATTTAATAAGTCAACAAATAATAGCTTTTGAGTTGAATTTATTGGTTATTAGTTCTTAGTTTTTTTAGTGCCACAAATACAAAAAAGTTACAAACAAAGATAAAAAGGAAGAATGCTATCTTTCTTATATCTTGTTTATTTTATAGCAAAGATTTGATATTCTTTATCTTGATTTTGATAGTTATTATCAATAAAAAGCTTCAACTTCATTTTTTGTATTTGCAAGATTCTTTGCTGGTTCTTATGTGTATTTATTAATATCATATTTATTCCAATGATTAAGATAATCCAATCTATTTTAGTGCTGCCTTGAATCTGAAACTTCTTCTACCTCAATTTCTTGATTATTATCTACTTCTATAGGAAGAAGTGGCATTTTTTTTCTTCTTGAGATATTCATAGTCTTATATGGCTAAAAAAGAGATATGTGAAATATGAGATAGATCTTCATAGAATTCAATAGATGTAACAAGATTAACTTATTTATAAATAAAAAATGGTCCAAGCTTACAATAGTCCAATTTATTATAAGGACAAATAGTCTTGATATTGTAATAAAGTAGCCATATCTTATTACTTACATTGAATTGTGGTTGTTCTTTGCAATAGGCATCTGCATTATTTTTTTTCATTCTTGAGCTTCCTTTAATTGTGCCTTTATTATTGCATATAACTTTGATAAACAATTTACCAAATCTATTATTGTAAGATTATCTATTTTTAAAAATATCAAGTTATAGATAATAACCATATTTAACAAAAAAATATGATTATTGAGTAGAAGAATGTACATAATTATTGTATGTAAATTCTACTAATGGCAAAAGAGTTATTTAATTACCTTAATGATATTTAATGGTACATCTCTAATACTACTTTAGAACTTCATTCATCAATTCCATTTGTCAATTAATTTGAAGATGAAAGGTTAAATTAAATTTTATATCCACCTTCAATATCTTAAAAAAGATTTTTTGAATCTTCATACTAATTGTGTCCATCTATTTGATATAATATCTTTTGGCAATCTATGATAGCAATAGATGTTATCAAAGAAAAGTTTAGCTCTTTCTTCATCTAAAATAAATTTTGTACTTGGTACAAAATGTGCCATTTTGGTGAAGAAATCTACAATCACAAATATAGAGTCATATGAACTTGAATTTGGAAGACCCATAATAAAATCCATACAAACATAAGACTATGGTTGTTTTAATATAGGCAATAATTGGAAAAGTCTATAGAATCAATGATAAGAAATTTTTGATCTTA